GACCCCTGAGGAACGCCACTCATTCACAAATGACATTTCTGTATTCAAAGTTAATATATGTAAGCTTTTTGCTTGAAGATCAGTGTTTTTCTTGCTTGGTATTTATTTAGTTTTTGCATTGTGTCAGCTTGTCTAATGAAGTGGCTGGGTTAATTTCCCCTTTGGAGTGCAACAAGTGCCTTCTGACAATGCAGTGCCATCTGCACTTCTGATCATGCTGATGATTTTCTCTTGTATTATTTTCTGGCTATTCATCCCAGACCTGCCACTGGTCCGGGGTCTTAGCTTTGGTAGCCACAGAGTGCACTTAGCACCAGAAACATCTCCCACTACTCAGAAAAATCAGTAAGTAGCAAAGTGAGAGTTCACTACTGTACAGACAAGAACATACCAGAATATGTCCATCCAGCAGCCAATGCTCACAGGCACTTCCAGACAGTTAAACTTATGCATGTTTTATGCATTGATATATCCTATGAAGACTAATCAATTACCTATATTATTTTGCATACCTCAGCTTGGCACATGCGCACAAACAACATACAGTATACATATGCAGTATACATAGTCTCTTCATAATGCAATTTACAAGGACCACCCTTGTTATGGACATACTTACTCTTGCTTGCAAGTACTTTCTTGATGTTAGTACCCATATTTGGCTACCTACAAATCTAGCCAGATGTAGCTGAACTGTCCTACTCAAGCCTTCCCATATTCCTCATCCTTTTTCAGCATTACCTAGCACATTGCCAGCTGGTTGTTCAACAAGCAATTTCTGCTGATACGTTGTTTTCCACTTTAGTTGCTTATGGTCAACCAGACCTAAGGAGAAGTCATGAGAAAGTGTCTTTTCTACATTTTGGTTACTTAAACACACGCATATTTAGGCACCCTCGCTGGGAAACCCCCAACCAAGCTGCACCAGTGTTTCTTTTCTAGCTTTTTTATCTTAAAAGATTGTTTTGATAGGCTGTGAAACAATAGAACTATAGAGAAAACAATTTCACTCTATTTTACAAGAAGGCAGTTGCATTTCCTTCGGCTGCTCCAGATGTACCCAAGGGCCTGTAAGAAACCATTAGCTCTAGCAGCTTTGACAGACTATTTTATTTTTCACACATATGCTCTGGTCTTTGCACTACTACTAAGTGGCAGAGTGAATATTTTGTCTCTTACTAGTTTCATAATACTTTCCCTCCATAAATAATGCCCTATTTCTAAGAGCAAGAGGTCTTGGTATTCTTTGAGCTGTGAGCCGTCCCACAGCTGCCCAGCACCATAACGTAAGATACAAGCAGTAAGATCCTTTCTAAGATAACAAGAAAGGTTTTATTGGAAAACCTGACTTTTTGTTCATTTATGAATAGTTTTTCAGCAGCATTTCTGTCTCTCTCTTTTTTCGCCCTGCTGCTGCTGCCGTGTGGCAGACAGTCTTAATCTGTTTGGGTAATAATAACTTCAGCCTTGTTTTCCTGTGGAGGACTGAGCTGTTAGTGGAGAACTTGACTCACTGGGAGAAATTACCTGAGCTGTTGCTATCTTTGCATCCCAGAAGTTTCCAGGACACTAAAAGACTACTGAGCCCATAAAATTAATACGTGATTTCAAAGCCCCCCCAAATAATTTACTTTTTTAGAAAATGACAAAAAAAAAAATAACCAAGATTGATAGGACAAACGTTGAGTGCACAGAAAAAGAGGAAATAAAGATTGCCAAATTCTGGTGTGGTGTATGTTCCACTATCCTCAAACAGCTAATGTTTTGGGTTAGTTTCTGACTAGGTTTAATATTAAGTAAGGACTATTCTATTTTCTTCTTCCTCTTCTTCTTCTTTTTTTTTTTTTTTTAAGGGAGAGGAGACATGGGAATTGGATCTCTATTTTCTTAACTTCTTCATATGTCACTTGCATTATTTCCATCCTGATTATCTTCCAAACTGGCTAATTAGTTCATTAAAAAAAACTGCAATTTATTCAGTACTTCACTAAGAATTAATCAAATGCTATACTTTCCCAGCAAAATTGTTTACATGATTGGCATTTGTATTCCTAAATAGCTTAGTTAAATTCTTTTAATCCGATGTGTGATTTTATACAGAAAAATACAATCAAAATACAGAACAAGACACAATGAGAAATACTGAGGTGCAGGCTATTTAGCAAGTTAGGTTTGTTCTAAACCAAAATCTTTTTCTTTCAAGCAAAGGGAGTGCTTGGTGCTGTTTTTTAAGAGACTTGAAGAAGAAGGGGTTGATGACTTGACAGCCTGGGACATATGTTTCCATCAGTCTCAAAATTATTTTTAAATCCTGCAGTGAGTGTCATATGCAACTGGCTGTTTTACTTGCAGTATAACACCAAACCTAAACTAAGCACAGATGCTATTTTTTTGCTGCTAGTATCTATATGTTTTACATTCATATTCCCAGATAGTTAATAGCAGAAATAATTTGCGTTCCAAGCAGTAACAGTAAAAAAAAAAACAACCCTGCCTAAATATTTGAAATTACATCACCTTTTATTCCCCTTGCTTCACGTGATGAAAAAAGAGATGATGGAATTTACTGGAATTTTCTGTCCTCCCCTCTTCTCTTAAATAATTAATGCTTTAAAAGTATTAATCTTTCTTTTCCTTCTTACCACAGGTCTTCTTTTTCCTCTGTTTGTTAGGTTCCAAATGACAAGAGAAGTACTTCCAGCTCTAGAATACTTAAAGCTCTAGAAATATAAGGAAAATAAATACATCAGTAGATTTCTAATGTCTGAACAATTTCTTTCTTCCACTACTACTCAGTATTAATTAATAGCTAAAACACTTATTCATAACTTTTGATTCTGAGTACTCCTTGCAAATAGGGACTAGGGATTGAATATGTGTTTAGGGGGCGGTGGGGTACGGTTATCCTTTATCTTGATGGAGCTGACCACTCTGGTTGCTTGCTAGGGTAGAGGAGTGTTGGCCACTCCACAGCATTGAACACTTTTCCAATTAACAGGCAACTTTGCAAAGGCTTCACATTAGGTAGAAATTGTCTTGAATATTTCCATGTTTTCCTGGGGACCAGAAGAGGGTCAATAATGTAAATCTGGAAGTATTTGGGCAGGGACTTTCTGAAACAAAAGGGCAAATCATAACACTTTTCTAATCTCATAAGACTTGCTGAGTGTACTCATCTATGGCATTAAACTATCTCAGCTCGAGATTGCCGCATTGTTTTATTCCCAAACTAGCATCTAGCACCAATTCCAATCTAGAGAGGTGATGTTTTAAACTTTATCAGATGCTTTCTTGCTCTTTGAGCAGACCAGTGTCTGGGATGTGTTCCAGGGAATTTCTGAGAGCTGTTTCTTCCAGCTGGTCCTGGCTGAGTTTTGCTGGTGCAACACAGCACAGAAAAGATGATGACTCTGTGCCTGTATGAATGGCAACTTGGTAGGGAATGAGAACACAGGGGCTGCAGAGACAGCATGATACACACTTACTCTCAGTTCAGCACAGTTTCCCCAGGCGAGTATGTACTAGAGAAACTGTGAAAGATACAAACAGGTATCACCTAGCAAGAGAGAGCACAATCCTGTAGTTAAAAGTGGGCCAAAAGGAACTGCAAAGATCTCCTTGCTTTCGTTTTGCTCTCCAGGTTATTTTCCGGTGTGCTCTCTGTGCTGTTTAAACTTACTGCTTTAGTGGATACCATTTTCTCTGTGCTGGAAGGGCTCAAAGCACTGCACCACAATGAGTGTGTGCCATAAATACTTGGCAATCCTCTCTGCATGGTATCTCCCATTTCCAGCATTAGCCTTTGGCAAGTGCTCTCTCTTCTCAAAACCAATTTGCACACACAGCAAAGTGCCTTCCTGATAGGGTCAGTTTTTCAAGGACCAGGGCAGGAGTCAAAGAACTTTTTCAAGGAAGCACAGAGGATTGTCAGGCTGTTTCCTGTCTGAATCTGTTGTGCTTTTCTCAGAGAGCTAAATCCTGTTGTCCTTAGTTGGTCCTTACGTACTCAAAGTCTTTATTAACATCAAGTGTAGGATTTGCCTACGTTTTGCCAGACTACGTAAATTCCTTTTTAGCCAGGACAGTTGGGTTAGTTTAAGTTGCATTACCAGAAAGAGATGCTGTAGGAATCCCTAAGCATGAAGCATATGTACATTTTACACTTTTCTGTTTGTTTTTATTTTCCCCACAATCTGAGGGCAGCAACTCCCAGTGGAGTCAAAGAAAGCCTTCCTGTCACTTCAGAGACCTTAGGCTGACTTTAAAATGCCAGTCCTGCTAGATTCTGAGGTGAATGAGTGAGTTGCCTTCAACGTGCTCCTAGGGTGTTGTTTGGTTTTCTTTTTTTTTTCTCCCCAAAATACATCAAAGCATAGATTTACTTAGTGCAAAACTTTCACTTGGATATACTTTAATTTCTGCTGGCAAGATATTCCAGCTGTGAAACCTTAGCTGTCAAATGACGTTTGGCGTATGATTCCATACTTATGCATAGATATTACTCCCTTTTAGACAGAGACTCGCCTTCTAGTGTTCCTCCACGAAGACACGAAGCTCCATTTGTACTCTGCCTCACTGCAGTGTCTAATATGACATAAAATTACCTATATTTAGACAATCAATCAGAACACTATCCATCCACCAGTGGCTAGATTTTGATTCATCTGGAATAATCACAAGTGTACATAAGCAACACTCCTGAGCTATGGTTGTTCGATACCTTGATTACACAATCTGTATTATACAATGAAACAGAAAAGCATTGAACAAATACCCTGAATCTGATATGATATTGCTTTACTATGTTTTGCATGTGGATCAAAGGCAACGTGAAAGCTAGTCCTCAAAACTCAGACTTCTCCTACTACTTTTTCTCAGCGTATTAAAAGGTTGAGATGCTGGGGCGGGCGGGCGGGGAAGAGGTGTTATATTCACCTTTCAATCTGTGTTGGAAGTCAGAGGAGCAGAGAAAAGCTAGAGGAATGGAACTGGAACCCTGGACAAACAGCCATCCTCTGAAGGACCCCAGCAACTTGGGCCCATACCTCTGTATTAGAAAGACAGTTGCAGCTCTGAGCCCTGTGGATGCTAGGCAGAAACATCAAAATATTTCAGTTCCGATCTGCAGCACCCTGCCTGACCTCAACACAGACAACCATGTCAAGTCACAGAGTTTAGGTCCAGATTTGGTTCTGAGTTTCACAAAAGTTTGCAGAAATCAGGATCTCGTAATTTATGACTTTAAGAATATCTCTACCTGGCATGTGGCCCTTGCTGATACAAACTGAAGCCTTCTGCTTTCAATGTTTTTGACTGTTGAATTACATCTGCCTTCAGCTGATGCATCAGTGTTGTAGTAAGAGTACAAATGTTCCTCGTATAAAAGTAAAAAAGTTGAGATAAACGCCCTACAAAATGAATACACAAGTCTGGCCTCATTTCTATCACGTACTTCAACTCTGCTCACAGGATTTATTTTTGTAACATGCAGTGGGACGAACTGACTTCCCTGACCCGCACCTTTATGCAATATTTAACGGCTGTTGCATCCTTTCCAGAAGGTTTCATTTTGCCATTATGTAAGGACGGGTTATCTGGGCTGGCACGTTAACGGGTGGTAACCGTGGCGGGCAGGCTGGGTGTGGTGTCAGCATGCTGTCACGATACTTCAGTCCCCAGAGTGGCTGCTGGCACTGAAAGTGGAGGAGGACCGACTCCCTTGGCCCCCAGCACCACTGAGACACGTGCAAAGACCGCAGTCAGCACTAAGACCTTCTGACCTCACTTATCTAAGACTATACCCCTTCCTTCTAATCAGAGAAACATTTGGAAGCTGAGTGGCACTAAATATTGGGTCTCTCTGTGTGAATACAAAATATACTTGTACCCAAAGCAGGAAAATAAATGTGATGAATAAAAGAAATCAATTATTCTTCCTGTTTCAGCTGGAAAAAATGTTCCTGCTTCCCTTCTCCTTACCCTGAATTTCAAAAGTAAAGGGAAACGCCTGTTATTTGCAAATTGTTGATTATAGGAGAGCTGTATTTCCCTCCTGCTATGTGCATTTGAACAACTAAATCTGTAGGACTCTGCCAGAGACTGTTTTGATTAGGCTTGTATCTAACATTTTCAAAGAACTGCCATCTCCGTGTATTTCTGGCAGTTCTGTTGATCAAAGGGAGCTATTTTGATTGATTTAAACCTAACCTTATAAAAAATGGCTTTACTAGCGCTGCCGACTTGCTCTTTGTTTTTGAGAAAGTTTCTTCGTGCCAAGGTTCTTTCTGCTGTCTGTCAGGGCTTTGAATGGTTGACATGTGAATGATGATGAAATCATTAATCCGAATTCATAAAACAGCTGAAAAAAATATTCCGGGTGTTCAAAGTACTACCAATTTATGTAAATGAAAGACATATCTGCTTTACATCAATTCATATGTATTAAATCCATGTAAAGGATGTAAAAGAAACACTATTAAACTGACTAAACCTTACGATCTACTGACCCTGTAACCAGCAAAGCACCATACTTAAGGCACTTATGTATATATCTAACTGTCCAGGGATCTGTCTGCTTCTGCAACCCACGGTTTTCCTTGGGCTTCGGCAACAGCTCTTAAAAGAAGTTCCACAAGTTTGCAAGGCTTATTTCCTCTTCTGAGAAGAACAAACTCCATCTGTTTGTGACATAAAAACTAAAAACTAAAGTCAGTGTAGCAGAATAGTTAATTTACAGTCTTCCCATTTTGCACAAAAGGTGTGCAAGACACCAGCCAGAGAAACCCCGAGTATGGGGTGAAACAGCTTATCTGGTGATTTGATCAGCCACGTACTCAAACTCTGCAGTAAAGTTTTTTCACTTGCTGCTTTTTTCCTTAGGTAAAGTGGAAGCGGCACTGGACCTCATACTGATCAATTCATTCCCTCTGGTGGGCAACTCCGAGACATCACTTATCTGCATCACCTCCAAATGGCGTTCCCGTGAGTCTATCACAATAGACCGAGACCAAGAGGATGTGACAAACCAGCACCGGGAACCACTGGAAGTTAATGAAGATTCAAAGAGACCAACAGCCAAAACAGTGGTATGGAAGAGGGAACAGGCCAGTGAAACTATTGGAGCATATTACTGTGAAGGGAAACTCAAGGATGAGGTGACAAGGATACATACCATGAAGATGCCACTGGGAGGTACTGTATGGTGGTCAGAGATGAGTTTTGCATGTCCTTGCTTGCAGATGGGCAGTTATCCCCGGCTGACCCAAGTGGGCACAAACGTGGCCCCAAAGCAGGCAAGACAGTCTGGAGTCAACAAAAATAGACTTGTCTTAAGCCCATGGGGTTTTTTTTAAAGTGCAGAGACAACTGGTCAATACCAGCTGCTAGTCATTTCCTCATGGAAGTTAGTCAGACATCTGTAGGTATTCTGCCTGTGTCAGGCTACTGCCAGGAACGCAGAGTCAGGTAGCAAATAAGGTAAGTACTGGCCTCACTGACCCCATGAAATAACACATGCAGTAACTCCTGCACTGGGTTTTTCACATCCCAGACCCTTGATTTCTAAACATGCTTCCATTTTAAAGTCTTGACAGATCTAAGATGTCGATAGCATAACATCGCTATCTTTTTTTTAATAAATGGGCAATCTAAGCCTACAAAATAACTGCCTTGCCTAAGGTTCAGTAAAACTACGGATCAGCAGCATTGGATCTGCACAGTCTGTGTCAGTATGAAAAAAAACCAAAACACCCAGCTCAACACTGGAAAGAAACTCCAGAGAAGTTTCCCAATATCTAGAAGTTTATTCACAAAAATCTACTATGGATTTCACTATTGACTTAGTTTAGGTTTTCAAACTATGCACAGTAGAAAAAGCAAACATTGCAGGGAGATGGTGGGATGAGAAGGTGGGATTTCCAATGCTCAGCACTCTGGTCATTAAAATACGTTTTCTTATGTGCAAAATTTCACTTGTCTCTGGACCTGATTAGACTTCTGGAACAAGTTCCAAAGCAAAGAGATCACCATAAACTACAGAAAAGTGTAAGAAATTTTGGCTAATTTTCTGCCACAAATCAAGTTTTCAAAATTTCAGCCAATTTTTAGTAGACTTCACTGTACTGATAATGTTTTGTGCCATAGCAGCTGGTCTGTGAGAAGACTTGACACTTTTAATCTTTCTTTACAAGATTTTAAGAGGAATTATCGTTGGCATGTCCTAACATTGTACAGCAAATTTAGAAAAAGAGGTTTTTCATTTATCTGAGCTGCAGCTAGTGTCCATTTACTTCTTTTAGTATGGGAATGTAGGAAGCAAAGTGGACAGGTCAAGTGCATTTTTCTTTGGCTTATGGTTTCTCTGACCAAATGCGGTCTTTGAAGGGTTCGACCAGCCACCAAGAGAGCTCTGCAGATGCAGGCTGACCACTCCATTGTTTCAAAGGAAGCTGCAATGAGGAGGAGGGGATAACAGTCCATGGAAAGTCAATGTGACTTTGTCTGTGGTAGAATGCCAGTGAGCTGAGCACATCTCAGGCTGCTGTGTACAACAACCTCCACGGGTGGAAGAGTGTCTTCTGAATCAATCAGTTTTTTGCACTTGGTATCTGTGGACCTAAGAGTAAAGAATTTAAAGTAATCAAACTTTGAGAGCTTCCTATGTGACAGAAGTTTTTCTAACCAGAAATAAGACCACATTCACACCGGTAGTAGGTAGGTTTCTTTGAATCATTTCTGGGTTTGAATCCATTTCTCAGATTTTCTCTGCAAAAGCTTTCACTGAAAAAAAATTGAGCTAGCAACTCATTGGTGAATGCGTATAATCTAATCAGGCTAGATGGGTGAGAAAGAGGCACGACAGAAGTTCTCAAAGCTATTAAAGTGCACAGAAAGAGGAAGAAGAGGTCAGTGAAGGACTGTGAGGTTTGGCAAAGCATCTGTAGTTGGAAAACAGGCCTTTTTTCCTTTTACTGTTGTTGTCTGAATGGTTTTTAAAGGCAGAGTGTGTTTTTCAACACCAAAAATTGAGCAAGAGTTGAAATGTGCAGTTTCCCATTGAGGACACAAAAGGCACAGGAAGGAGCAGCACTTCTGAAAATCCAGCCACTGTTTTGCAGCTTCACGGCAAGAAGCTGCTGAAACACTCACTAAACATTAATCACTTAGTGTCGTTACTGTCATCTGCCTGATTAGGTACCTATTATCAGATAAGAAGATACAGCAAAGATTTCTGCTGCACAATACAGAAAGATAACAGGTTCATTTTTTCATTTACTATACCTATGTGCTATTCTGAAAGTCACAAGTCTGTTCTCCTGAAATCATCATATTTTAGCATCATTGTTATGCACACCATATTCATAGATGCAATGAGAAGGAACAGATGTTTTATATATATGGGGACTACTGCAGATACTGTATAGAGCACACATATCTAAAATGGAACACTATATAGCCTGTCCTGTATCTAGTCAAATATAATTTATGCAATTTCTCCACACAATAAATGTGTATTTTCATATATATCATTGAGTTTCCCCCCCAGAAACTCTCTAGAGCAGGCAAAGGGACAATAATGGAAATGCTAGCAACAGAGCCTTATGGCACTTGCCCTGCAACTCAGTTCATTATGTCTCTATAAGGAATTGGTACATTCAAGATGTGAAATCATGAAATACAAGTCACAATCTAAAAATACATTGGAACCGAGCCCACCAGGGAGTGTGGGTTCCTTTCCATTGCAACAATACTCTGAAGAAAAAAATTTTGTGGTTGAGCTAAACAACACACAAAGAAAAGAAAATGGGAATACAAAAGTTTAATAGTTTGTTAAAACAATTAGTAATTCCTCACTAAATTTGGTCCAAACCACACTGCAACTAAAACACTTAGGATCATTTGTAACTAACAATTCATTTTGGGGAAAGCTGTTAAATTTTCTTTTCCTAAATAGATCATGATTTTCACCATGCCTTTGTTATTCATAAATAACTTCCAACTCAGGAGCTGACAGTAAATTGGGACAGCTCTCAGTTTTTGTTTGACTGTTTTTAATGAGATCTTATTTCATTTTTCTATATTAGAATTCTCTGTTTCTCTAAGATTTAAGTTCAGATACCAGTGCATAGGTAACATCTATTGAGCAAATGCTCAGTAGATTCCCATGCATGTGCTTAGTATCATGCAGGAAGAGTCCTGCTGGAATCTGTTGGCTAGCGCTTACAAAGGAATGAAAGCACGTGGCAGAGGCCCAGAGCATAAACACTAGAACTGCACAGGGGATGGGAATTCCATTCTGCAAAGAATGGTGAGTTTTCAACAATTGTCTTATTTCCAATCTGAAATAAAGCATTAACATGTCAAAATTCTCAAGGAAATAAAATTTTGGGAGAGAAGTTGGTGTGGATTGATAGGATTGTCTTAATTTTTACTCAAATTGTTTTTCTTTAATTTTACGTCACATAACATAACACAAACATTTTGATTTTTAATTAAAATGTCATTCTGAAATGGAAGTATTAAAATGTTCCTTCCTCAAATATTGCTATAATACCACCCTTTTTTTCCCCTCAGATTTTACAAAATAATGTACAAATGGATGTACTAACATAGTTTCAGCCTCATACAATCTTTGAGGTAGCATCCACTTGCTCATTTTTTACAGCTCTATTACATATATAACGTAATAGGATGCTAGTTCATAATTTTTTCTCTGCTTTCTGAACCAATCTCTGTCTATTTCTTTGTCACCAAATTTCAGCCACAGACTAGATTTGTTTTCTGCATCCATTGGTATGAACATAAGTATACTTTATTGACAGTTTTCTAAAAAAGAGTCATGACTATAGATAAATGGCAGCAATTTTTTATGAATAAGTTGTCTAACAGTTCGTACTAACTTCCGTATGTGTTCCTTAAACAAAATATTCCCTGTGAAATAAATGTGACTTTAATAGAAATGGAACCTGTGCAAATGCAGAGCCAACTAGGAGCATGAATGACTCTCCAGGGATCCCTTCCAGCTGAGGCTCAGGTGGGTCATTCTGTTGGAAAGGTCCCACTCACCTTGCTGGGGAGGCAGGTAGCAGCAGAACCGGGCTCCCAGGTTCAGGGACCAAGGTGCAGGACGGACTTGCCCGACAGGAACTTGCAGAGGAGGAACAAAAAGGTTAAAGACCCTCAAAAACAGAAGAGAAAAGAGGTTGGTGAAAATCCATGCCTCACTCCCCTGGGTGCAGGGGAGAGTACAAAGGTGTAACATTCTCACTCAGGTAAAGAGCTGAAATACTTTGGAAGTTAAGTTTGCCTAACTATAGAAGAGTTTCTGTAAATTTTTTGCCATACGACATATCAGTGTCAGTACGGCATAAAACCTCAGAGATAAAAATTGTCAGAAAACCTAAATTTGTCCTTGAAAAACCTCACAGCTTTCCCTTGGAATTTTCCAGCTAAATGAAAGGAAGGGTCCTTAACTTCTAACTTGTTTCAAAGTAATGTTGCAATTAAAATTATCATTTCACTGGTTTTAAAAGTTACTATTTCTTGAGATTTTTCTGTCCCTTCCCCGATTATCTTCTTACCTTTTTTTCCGCTTGTAATGACAAGGAGGAGGCTACAATTTTGTGAAAATCACTCCATCTACTACTTTATTCTTTTTCTTAAATCAAGAACCATAAACAAATGTATAAAAGTACTTTTCTTTTTAAACAGAAAAATTAATTTCAATTTCCCAGCTGGAAAATTGAAAAATGTCACTGATCTGGACTGTTCCTCATATAGAATTTTTATTTTAATTAAGCCACAATTTTAGATTAAACTATTTTGGTAAAAGTACCACTGGCTGTGAATATGTTTTTTCATTTGTTCTTAGTGGAAGCCAACACTCTCAGTATTTATAGAGAGCATAGTGAACTAACCCAAGCACAAACCTACTCTATCTTACCGCATCTCCCCCAGACCCTGCATGACTGTGGTCTCCCGAACTATCTTGACTTTTCAGCTTCATAAAGCTAAAACAGAAAAGAACTGAGTCACTCAGGGTCTTTGTCTGCCAATGACAGCTTGTTCCCTACAATACATTTTCCAGTACTTTATCCAGTCTGCTTTAAAAATGTCTCAAGGGATGAAGAAACTTGGGAAATTGTTTTATAGCCAGTTGGAGCTCCTAGTTAGGAAGTGTTTCCAGTTGCTCAGCCAAAAATTGCTTTCCTTTTATTTCATGCCCCAGGTTCTAGTGGAAGACTCTTGTCTCAAGGTATAGGTGAGTTCTTTGTCTTTGCCAAAACATAGAATCGAGGTTGCTGGAGATAAAGAGTCGGTGTGTGCTCTAAAGAAATTTAAATGTCAAAATCTGAGTCAGGGTGATGCTATAAACCATTGTGAGCTTTCGGCCTAGACACCAGATAGAGACAATAACTGCTGCTATTTACCCCATACTTCTGTCCTGTTCTGTTTTCAGCCTCATTCCACCCGGTGGCGTTAACTGTTACAGCAAATAAGGGAGAGCCTGTGAATATTTCCTTCATCAGAATGGCAGCAAAGGAGGAAGATGCAGTGATCTACAAAAATGGTAATTAACCTTTCTCTCTTGTCTTTTCTCTTCCTGCTATCATTGTCTTAGCCAAGTGCCATGTAACTGGTTTGAAGTCATTGCTGATGATGCCCATGCTGTGCAACTGGAGCAGACATAATTCCTCATGCCTTTATTGTTCCCTAAAGGACCAACTTCCATACCCAATATACTGAGCTGACCTGTTTCTCTTCCAGCAGAATGCCAAATCCCATGTTTATACCTTTGCTTTGTTTCTCATTTTCCTTTTTGATTTCCTTCTATATTATGCCCTCATATATTTGCCTGGCTGATTTTAGCTTTTTTTTTTTTTTTCCTGTGCCACTGTGAAGGCCTAATTACTGCATCTTTCTTTGCATTTTTACTGGTTTTCAAGTGCATACATCTCCTTTTTCAATGGCTTTTAGAGGCTCTTCAGGCTAAGAAATTAAGCACTAGTAATCTGCTATTAGAAGGGTAAAACTGTCAACAAAATCTAATCCTTGTTTCATTCAATTACAAAAAATTAGTCAGGTTGTGAAATTCATGACACCAACTTTTCTATGTAACACAGCACCTAAATCACATGTAACGAACTCACTGTTCAGCTGTGTGTTGCTACTGCTTGACACTTAGAAATACATGGTTTGCTATCTACCTCCTGTAGAAATGTAGTGAAATACTGGTTGCTAAACTCACAGTGCCTTTATACTTAATCAGAATGTTAGACTCCAACAAATTACAGCTGTGGAAAGCACACATAATGTACACATCTTTGTCTACTGACAGTCTAGCTTACAGCAAGCTACCAGGAAACAGGCAGGATGAGGTAAGGAAGTGTCAGCACACTCCAAAAGAATGCATGCAGAGGGTCAGCCTCAGCCCCAGTTACTGAATACATGGAGCACTTCTCTACAGGCTGGAAGAGAAAAATAATCAAAAAGTGTCTTGTAAAAAGGCAATATGCAAAGCAGAGTTCCTTAAAGACCTGCTTCTTCGCTCTTCAGAGATTCAGCTATCGCAGTGCACAGTGGAGAAGGTTTGCCATCACTTGTCCTTTCAGGATTCCCAAGGACATTTTGTCATATTCTGTCAGCATTTTGTCATAGAAGAATCAGCTGATATGTTGGAGCAGGAGTGCTTACATCATGGTGCTGCCTTAGCTGGGACTCCAACTGGAAATTTGGCAAAAAGCCTCAAATTAGCCATGACTTTGGACAGTAGGTCAAATTCTTCACCTGAGATTGCAGCTGAAATAGCATCCCTGATCATTCCTGATACAGGAGCTGGCAAAGAAGAGAAAATACTTGTCGTGTCATATTTAACTGTTGCCATCTCTCATTTCAGGCATTTAAAGTACCACTTCCCCCTTGCAGACGCTCACAAAGGCTCTCTGGAGAATGAACCTGTTCTGCTAAACAAGATTGCTTTTAGACATTGGCATAACTTGTGCCATCTTGGAAAACAAGCCACAAAAGCTGACCCTTGCTAACAGACTGTGAGCATAAGGCTTTCTTAATACTTTGCTGCCAGGTTTGTTTGCAGCTTGTAACTTGGAAGATATGCAAAAAAAGCTCCACAGTTTCAGAACTAATCCCTTTCGTCCTTTGCTCTTTTTCTCTGGCCCTGTTTTCTTGAAGAACTGTCATGTGTTGTCATGGACTAAACCGACCCAAGATCTTTTTACTATTTGGATTATGATCCTCAGCTAAGTTTTATGTTTCTAGCCAGCCTGAAATTTGTAGTCAAATTGATATTATGATAATATGGATGATCACAGACAGCAAAGGTCCTGCCTGAACAGTTTACCTTCCAAATTATTTCAGCAAAGTGAAAAAAATTGTTTCATTATCAACGTAACTGTAAGGATATGTAGAAAGTAGGGGCATTTGATTTGTGGGAGTATCATCTGCTTAATGGTCATTCAGCATAAAAGACTAAGACAAAAAACAAGAGAAGTAATAAATAAACAGACACACAAGCCCTAAGGAGTAGCAGGTGACAGAAAACATCAAAGGGCAGAACTTTCCAGCTTCTGAGGGCCACTGAGGGAACAACACAAAGCCCTGAGCAGCTTCAGCCAGAGCTTTCTGGGTATAAGAAGCAGGGAGCAGGGTAATCGTGGATCTCAGGGGGAAAGAGCAAAGTCATGGCATGATTGAGGGGGACTGTGAGCATGTGTGAAATACTGGGAAAGAGCCAAACAGGAGAAAGGGAGGGCTCAGAGTGATTGGGAAAGGAACAAGCATGGGAACATGGTGCAGGAGGCATGTAAAACGTGCCACTTGCAAGTGTGCAAGCTGCAGGCCAGTACACCGGTCTGGCCAAGCTCTGCACTACAGTTGGTCTGATCTTACTAAACTCTACTCCTAATTGTTCTTCAACATAAGTGTGTTCTCTACCTGGTATGCATATGTATAATCTGCTAGTGACCTTCAGGCCAGACAAGAAGGCACAGCAGGTAACTCCTAGTAACTGGAAACACATGCCAGGGGTCAAAGGGGCTTGTACGGCTGGGGCCAGCAACCAGAGCGACAAAGTTATGGCAGGGACCTGTTTGCGTGTGTGTGTGTGCATGTGTGACACTGGTCAACTTCAAGCCAGGCTAACCAGCGAGTAGGATAAGAGGTCTGAGAGACAGCTATTTAGAGACAGCGTAGGTCCAGGCCAGCTAAAACCCATTTTTGGGTGTGTGAGATCTGCCAGCGAGTCTGACTAGCTGGCAAGTGAGAATGGGATCAGACTGTCTGGGTCGTTTATGTGAGTGCCATGTGCACGTGCAGTACCTGTAGAGGCACAGTTCTGCTGTGCAGCTCTGTTGACGGCTGGCTTTGTCGGTACAGTGTGTGTGAGCATGTACATGTATGTTTTGGTGACAGCTGGCTGGACCTGGCAGCAGCTGACTGCAGCAGCCTTGCACTAACAGACTGGAGTGGAAGGACTCCCGGGGCCCTGAAGTCCACTGGATGCAGCTTCTCTTTCACAACAGTTAACGTTCACATGTTGTTACTTGGTGATCCAGAGGGATGGGAGAAGACCAAATGCTATCGCCTTACTTAGCAAGCATGTATGACCAACTACAGCAAACCTAGAAGAACATTTATGGGGTCCCTTGGTGAAAAAAATAGAAGGGGCGGAAACATGTTAAGTCTGGGAGGAAAAGACAAAGCTGTGCTGTGCTCTTCCTGCTTTGGTCTGCTAAGTAAACCTTTGTGCTACTCAGATTAAATAGGACCTGGCTGTCATTTGCTATGTGACTCCTTCCAGCCACACTAGACTCCTTGCAGATGGTCACCCCTCACTTCAGGAAAGGCCAAGAAAGAAAATGAACATTTTTAAACACTAGACTCTTAGCAACATTTCTGTAAGGCCATGCTGAACTCGAAGTAGTTTTTCCCATTCATCTACTAAATCTCCTCAAGATCTAGTTTCCTTTTTACTTGCACCTCTCCAATTATCAAAAAACCAATACAGCTAAAGAGCTGACAGCAAATTCATAACTAATAAATAGATTCTACTGCTTAGCACATCACAGGTGTCCTTCCTCTGTAACCAATGCAAATGCATTTCTGTCTGTAAAAGGTGAATGACTTGTCTGTTGTATCCATATGCTCCTTCCCCAGGCTCCTTCATCCACTCTGTGCCCAGGCATGAAGTGCCAGGGGAGCTGGAAGTCTCCTATCCTCAAGTTCAGCCACAGGATGCAGGGGTTTACTCTGCCAGATATATAGGAGGAAACCTCTTTACTTCTGCTTACACAAGGCTTATTGTAAGACGTAAGTTCCATTAATGTGCACTGATGATTAATTGTTTAAATTCGTAATGAATCTGACATGAAACTTACACTGTGCCCAAATAAGGGCCAAAATCTTTCTTGGCGTAAGCTGCCATCAGATTATGTCAGAAGAATTTTTTTCCCAAGGATCTTTGGTACAAGCTGATACTGATTTAAGCAGCTGAGAGAAAAAAAAATATTCAGATTTATGTTCAATTCATCTTAGCTGTCGCCAGGACATCTAGCTCCTTTCTCAGCATCTCAGCTTTCAAACACCAAGTAAGCATGAACAAAGAAAGTGGCACTGGGTCTCCCATGAGTATGAGATGTGGGTCTGAGCGCAAAAAAGGAATTTTCAAATGTCTCTGTTCTTTATAGTGAGCTACATACAAACCCCATTTATCATAAGATTTATTATCCTTAGCATACATTATTGTAATTTCACGAACTATCCCAGCCTTAGTTAGGTCTTAAAGTTCACCTCCCAGCAGATGACAGGATCAGTTTACAATGCAGGTGAATATTTTCCATTAAGTATTCCACATGTCTTGTAGCTCATGCTGCTATGTCCATTTTCATCAGGTAAAAAGAAAATTATATTCTATTAACCTGGATAGAAATATAAAACTGGTATGTAAAAATAAATAGCTGTTCAAATATCTTATATTATGGAGAAAATGTTTCTGACAGTAAAATGTATTTTACTTGCTAACATCCACAGGATACTTCCAGGAGTCACGAATGAATCGATATAATGCCCCAAATTTGGATTTTGAAACTATTGCCACCTTACTAAATGAAAAGGTCCAAGATCTGTTCTCTAGTGGCAAGCCACACAGCAGAAGACTTATCCATAAATTCTGTCCCCTGCCTTGACACAGGCTTTTGTCTTGCCCGTGCTGCCCATTGGGAAAATTCCCGGGGCATAGTGGTAGGGAGCACACTAACAATATAGGGAATGGTGGATTACATGCCACTGCTGAAACACATCCTGTCTTTCTTTGAATTAGCAGTACACACACAGACTGATGATTTTTAGCAAAGTGTAACCACAGGTAAGAATTTCATTCCGGGACAAGGCGGAGATAGAGCTCCAAGTACCATGTGGATTCATTAAGTGCTTCCTGATCCAAGTCTGGATTACCAACTTTTAGTGACCCTGCCTCAGGACTTTCCAGTTTATTATCTCCTCGGTCCTAGCTTTACACTAGAGGAAGTCATAAAGATTAGTTTCTGTGATGTAAGAAACATTGTTACAAATTAAATACTGGAAATTACTGACTCTTCTCAGCTCCCACTGATTTCAAAAGTAGCTCGGAGAATTTTGCATCTTGTAGAAATAGGTTAAGCATTTGCATGATGAAGTCATATATCTGTTTAGAGCTTAAGCTCTGCTTTATGAAATCAGTATCAAAACACTCAGTGGCAGGATTAATGGTAGTAGTATCTTTTTAAATTACAAAGCAGGAAAGAAAATCATGACAGACATTACAATGACTGATTGCTCTTAGTCCATTTACTCCAGGAACAGGTCACCAGTTGATTGATCCTTCTTATAAAGACCCAGTGAAGACAGTAAAGACACAAGAAATGTGAACCTGGTCTAATGAACTTTCAAGAAAAATATTATTACAGAAAAAAAATCATGACTTGCCAAATGCTGGTACAACACCAGTGATGCCAGGCTTGGTTCTGCTGGCTTACAACCAGTACAGCCAGATCCAGGTGAAGCCTGGACTTTCTGTCTGTCTCAGATCCTTGCTACAAGAAGAGAAATCTTAACAAATAACATGTTTGTCAACTTCCAAACTAAACCATCTATCTCTAGTTTCAAAAATGGAAGACTTTTTCAGTTCTTTCCTTGAAGATGTTACGTAGCATTACTCTGTACTATGCAGCAGTTCTGCTCCAGATTAAGGGCACTTCCATAATGAAAAAAGTGATTCCTTACATCAGGTCAGTTGGTGCAGGCTTAGGGGGACCATATGGATCGTTTTTTTAGGTATTTTACTGTTTGTCTTAATTAAAAATAATTTTACTGCTTGATTGGTTACTGAATAAGAAGACAACAAATATGTCATTATATTTCTGCATAAAAGGATGTGAGGCGCAGAAATGGGGCCCTTCCTGTAGCTCCCACTGCCCTTCCTGCATGAACAATGGCATTTGTCATGAAGATACTGGGGAATGCATCTGTCCTCCAGGTTTTATGGGAAAAACATGTGAGAAAGGTAAGCAAATACTATTTTCACAGATTGTTTATTAATTTGTTCTCAGTAGCAGAAGCTGGCACTTTATTGGGAGAAGCATCAAATGGAGTAGCCTTGTTTTACTCTTTATAGCTATAGCATTTACAGCCTGTGCTGGAGACAGCAGTGTTGTGTGAGATGAACTCTGAATTAGAAAGGCTGCTCTTGTAGTTGTGATTTAACTTCTCCCCCTCTTTTCCTAGTAGGGGTTATTTTGCTGGGGAAGATGAATGTTTCCAACTCTTCTTGATCAATATGCACTTGGGAAGGTGTGCCAGATAATCTCTTCTAGACTCCTTTTCCCACAAGAGGCTGGACCAGATGATCTTTTGAGATCCCTTCCAGCCTGGGCTGTTCTATGATTCCCCTGAAATCAGTATGCTTGAAGCTACTGACTGACTGTTAAATAGATGATAGAATAGGAGATCTTAAGGATACACTGGCGCTGGGAAATGAAGCCCTGTGTTAGAGAATCCCTGGCTACTTCTGAACACGCTGCTAGCATGCTCACAGAGTGATTTGTCTGTGATTTGTCTCTGTAGGGGCGTATCAGTAGAACAGTATATGTCTGTCTGTGCATATTCATGTCTGTGACAATTAGTTTGGATTCTGGAATAATTACAGCAGGCATCCCATTGCTCTGATCTCTCCAAGCAACTTTTGGGTCCAATGCTAAATATGTATCCTAATATTCTGACTGAATTGCAGTGCTGCAAATACTAGAGCTAAGCTATTGGCGCAGTTGATATCTGAACTACTCTAATGTAGCACTGATCATATCAGAAAAGCAAAACCTAGAGCTTGGCAGTTTCATATGCACTGACCTCTAAGAAGAATATTTGGTTTTCATGGCGCTATTTGTCCATATTAAAAGGCTTATAAAGAGGTTTTATTGCTGAATAATATTGCTGTCTCCAGCAATACCCAAAGCAATGGGTGCTTTGCTGATGTATCCTCACATGGGAGAAAGTTATGCTTGTTTCTGCTGCCTGAAGTTCACCATTAGTGCAGCCATGGCTTAAAGCAGTTACAGATGTTACTATATCTGGTATCTGAATGGTAAAAATGCTATTTTTTTAAATTGTAATTCATGTTTTTTCTTGTCTAAAGCTGTATCATTAGAAGCATTAGCTCTTTTGTGGACTTAATGCTATTGGGGTATTCTTTCCCTCTCTCCCTTCAATATAGCTTGTGGAGCCAATACATTTGGCAAAACGTGTGAAGAGAGCTGTAAAGAAAACTATGGCTGCAGAAACTATATGTTCTGTCTACCAGATCCATATGGTTGTTCTTGCGCCACAGGATGGATGGGACTGGAATGTGATAAAGGTATAGTAAAAAATATGAGGAATGGTGAAGACTCCTTAGTGTGCTACACATAGGAAATACAGAAGTGAGCAGCAAGGACTAAAAGACAGGATTTTTTTACATTCGGTAACAGAGGGATAGTAATAGTTACTCATCTCAGAGGGCCATGTCATATTCTCAGAAAAAGGACACAGTAAAGTTAAAAAATATTTAAATTATTCTGCAGAATGAATTGATGTTCTACTGAGACATTAAAAATCCTTTAAAAGCTACAGTCCTGCTGTATTTCTACAAGTCAAACTAAGCAATTCAATGCCAAACATATAGCCATTGCTGAGCAATACTGAGCATTGTTTACTTCAATTAGACTGCAATCTCTCTGGGACAGATGAGGCACATCTTCTTTTATGAATATGTGCCATCTTGTTCAATCATGACATAACTCCAGTGAAACCTTTGGACAGTACCACAGTGCAAGTGGAAGAACAGTGGAGATGATTGAAGAAACTTCCACACTGGCATCTAGTCTACAAATGACAGGCGTGGACACAAATGTGCTCTATTTTTTTGATGTTAATGTGTTCTCAGGATGCTCTGTAGATGATTTAGTGCCAACACATATAGTTTTAAACTCAACCCAACTGAGGGAACTAAACCCGACTGGAGAATTGATACATGAGATTGAAAATTAATGGAAGACATTTTCTAGTACCTTTACACTAACTGGAAACATATGTACTTGCAGAATGCAAACCTGGTTTTTATGGGTCAGATTGCAAACTCAAATGTAATTGCCACAATCGAGGGACATGCGACAGATTTAAGGGCTGCATCTGCTCCCTTGGATGGCATGGTCTGCAATGTGAAAAAGAAGGTAAAGCAAGGTAACACGGTAGTAAATGGCTTTTCCCAGTGTAACTGAAACAGATCTTCATGCTGGTACAGCATTTCCACTCCAGGCTGGTATCCTTGCTCTGCCAATTACATTCCCAGGACCCAGACACTTCTGTACGTCTTTATTGCAATGTAGTGTTTTTAGGCCTCTGCCCCATATGCTGCATTTAGCAGGCTGGTATGCTACCATTTCATCTGATTTTGCTTCCGTTAGAGGTAGATTTGCAAACCTCACTGCATAGGATTTGACACTGACCTTAATATCAATTACTGACAGAAGCCGCACATCCTACCTGCATGATCAGCTTTTGGGTAGATTGATGGTACTTTACCATTACCTACCTACCTCTTACTCATCTGCATATGCTCCTATATCATGTGCCTCATGATCTGAAATTGGTGACTGAGACAGCAAGACAACCCCAGAGTTTAAAACACCTGTCTCTCTGAGAGAGAGTTAAGCTTGCGGAGCTGAACATACCTCATTCAGAAAGAATCTCTTTGGATTCAAGCAAGGTTTCGCACATAGTATTTTATAAGATGCACTCAGCATCTATTATTTCTGCCTGATACATAAAGTGAGAAATCTACTGTTAACTTATAAAAGCTTCCAAATGCAAAAACAAGCAGAGAAATAAGACTGTGATCCAGCCAGCCAAACTATACCATTGTGGTCTGACTGCACTTACAAACAGGCAAAATGGGGAGCAAATAGATACTGCACATTCAGTACAAAATGTGTGCACAATTTTGCCATAGATAGACTGTCAGTGCTTAGAATTTCAGCGACAAAGAGAGGAGAGAGGAGATGAGCTGAGGGGAAAAGAAAGAGTGGAGACAGGGCTTGTACCTTCTCACGGACATTTACACTGATGTCACAGTGCTGACTTTGGGAAGCATGACCCTTGCATATGGGTCTAGTGGAGGGTGTCCCTGCCCGTGGCAGGGGGGTTGGAACTAGATGGTCTTTAAGGTCCCTTCCAACCCAAACCATTCTGTGATTCTGTGATTCTATGATTCTATATGCCCCCATGAGTGACGGAACAACCAGACACCTATGCTGGCTATGCTCATTATATGCCTCAACCTGTTTTGGTGCTGCCTTTTTAAAGTTCTGTTTGAAGGCTGACATTAAAATACTATATATATTCTGTAGG